AAAGAAATGGTGGTTCAAAGACAGGAGAACGAGGCGTGAATGGTAAATATATGAAATAGATTGTCTACGTATGTAGAAGTTCAGATATCTTCCACGCCTAATATGTAACTTGACATGAATAGAAACTCCACCCAAGCATAAACACTTTTTAAGAAGTAGAGTCCGCTCAGATGAATCGGAAGACGCAGAAACAGCATGTCAGACACCGAAGAAACGTCGCGTCGCCAACAATCAATTACTCACACCTAAAACTCCAACGACGGCTCCTAGTGATAGGGGTTTCACGAGCCCTGTCTCAGAAGCAACTTCTTGTTATTTAACTCCCAAGAGTACTCGTACCGTTGACTTACTGAAGAAACCTTCGGGTTCTTCACCCGAGATCATTGGTGAAGCAAAATCACTTTTTCGACTGTCCACTGTTCCTACAAAGCTCGTGGGTCGTAATAGTGAGCGTGAAGCTATTACGAAATTTTTGAGGAACAATATTATTGGAGGAACACCGGGAAGCCTTTACATAACTGGCGCTCCCGGAACTGGTAAAACGGCGTTAGTCAACGAAGTTTGGAATGGCATGAAAAATACCATCAAAAATGAAACGAAATGTTCTATTGAATTTATTATGATTAACTGTATGAATGTCGATGATCCAAAAAGGATTTTCGCGAAATTGTTGGAAAACTCGGGCCGCAATGCCGTAAAGAATGCCGAGGAAACGTTGGAGAATTTATTTTTAAAACAAAAAAAGAAACATATGTAGTAAGTGATTCTTATAACATTGTACTTGACTCAACCACATCATCGAATACTAGCTGTGTATACACGATTATAGTGTTCTCTTACTAGATGAGATTGATTCGCTTATGACGAAAGATCAAGATGTAATATACAAGCTATTTGAGTGGACAACCATAAAATCCTCACGTTTAATTTTGATTGGGATATCAAATCGTCCTGAACTTACGGAACGGTATCTTCCGCGTCTTAAAATTAAGAATAGTTTGTATTCATTTTCATTAATTATAATTTAACTCTTAATGAAGATGACGCGAAAATAATGGATTCTCCGCTTAACCTATAGCTATGCCAAAATGTATAAACTTTTCTGCCTATAGCGCCTCCGAGATTGTGGACATAGTCAAAGATCGCATAACTGTAGCACAAAGTGATAGCGCCTCATCTTTTATGTCGTCACAAGATTCGGATGTGTCATTAATAGAAGATCAAGCGATTGAGTTGTGTGCAAGAAGAGTTGCATCTAGTAATGGAGATTGTAGAAAGGCATTAGACGTTTTTAGAAAAGCTATGGAACTAGTAGAAACTGAAATGGAAAATTCCGAGGTAAACTTGTCGACGGATAGTATGGTGGAGAAAACGCGCCCTGAAAATTTGAGTTCTCCAACGAAATCAATTGTTACAATCAATCATATTAATCAAATCACAAACTCTGACGTTACCGGTACTCATATGGTGAAAAGATTAAGAGAATTAACCGTTCATCAATTGCTTATAATCTGTACCTGTATAATTATGAAAAAAGAGAAAATCAAAAGGATTACTTATGACGAGGTGAATGAGGCTAACAACGTTATATTAAACAATCTTGATCGATCCACTAAATTCCATTTATTATTATTATTTAGTTACGCACTCGATATCAACGACTCTGTCGTAAGGATAATCTCATTATCCCATCTGTTTCCAGTGAATTTCATATTCTGGTGGAAAGACTCGATAAAACTGGGTTAATAAAAGTACGTCGTTATAAGTCAACAGCAACCCGTATAATCCAACTGTTGGTTGAAGATCACGATTTTATGGTGGTGGCGAAGGATCATCCAGTTTTGCGTAGCGTAAAATTTTGACGAGCTTTATTCAAGATGAATTATAATGAGCATCTCGAGTAGGCAAAGTTTTAATGGAATTATAATGTTAATATAATAAGTATGCCAAGTGTTCTACAATTAATACTCCGAACGTTTATTTTCCTTGATAGTTAGCATACTCACCTAACACCTATCAGGCTATTTGCATGCAATCAATTTATTTTACGAGATCACAATGAGAACACTTCTCGAAAGCATAGAATTTTTATTTTGCTTTTTTATTGTTTTTATTTTTCTTTATAGACGACTTTGTATCCAATTTGTTTGGTTCTCTTTAAGGCCTTGCCTTACCCACCTGTAATGATTTTTACAAAGCCTGACATACAGTATAAATACCGCGATATAATTGCACACGGGACATCGATAAACGATAAAAAACAGTTCTTTTTTTTTTTTTTTGTAGATTTTCTTCATATAAAAAATGCATAAGCTGACATGTGAAAACAAATCCTCGTTGCCAACAATATTAACCGTGTTGATAATAATAATATGTTTGAAGTGATTAATTTATACAATACTTGTCACAAATATTGGATCATCTTGTAAGGTTTAAATCCTCTATCTAATATCTCATAGGCTAATTATTAGAAACTATTAGAACTAACACAGACCTTAATTTGACATAATGATTTTTTTATTATTTAAATAAATGTATCGAATTATTCTATAGTTATTCATTTATGTTTTTTTCATGCATATGATAGAATTGTTGATATTACTTTTTTTTTATTTAATCCGGAGATACTAAATAAACATCTACAATGTTACATTGACTAATCATATTATTGTATATTATTAATTTTTTTAAAGCCCCTGTCAGGTTAGACATGTGCATTATTAAATGTTTTGTATACTTTACATTAAAAATATGTCACTAAAGCTAAATCTCTATCTAACTCCCTCATCAATATTTTGAAATTTATCAAAACTCTAAGTGCAACTTCAGAAGTGATTTATCATTTCATTAGTAGTTCAAATAAAAACCCTTCCAACTACTAACTTCATTACCTGCAAATCACTACTGCAGATTATTATATATTATTAATTAAAGGATTACATTATTTAAAAATATAAGAAGTCTATTAAGCTATGATTGCTTTCAAAAGTTTGAGTCCATTTACTATGTTTTTATTATAAATTTCAATTTTGACAATTTTTAAATCATTAATTAAACAGTCAAAAAATTATGAAATTTATATATATTATGTTTTAATACTTATTCTATTTCTTATATATATACATATATATTTTAAAAAATTTTATATTAATACATTTTAAAGTTTTATTATTGCTAAATATTTTTATTTTTTTTATTAATTATCATATAATTTACAATAACAACCAATTTAAATTCTTCAAAAGTAAAAATTTGATAAAGAAAAAAAATTTTAACAACAATAAAACTTTAAAAATTATATATCAAAAATTTTTGAAAAAAATATAATAAATAAAACTAGTATTAGAATATAATATATATTAATTTTATAATTTTTGATTTTATAATTAAGGATTTAAAAATTGTTAAAGTTGAAATTTATAATAAAAATATAATAAGTAGACTCAAACTTTTGAAAGCAACTATATTTTGAATTAAATAAATAAAAATCTAAATTAAGTACTTTACTTTAAATCAGATCTATAGAAACAATATTTCATTTTTTTAACAGATTAATATTGATTTTTTATTTATCAAGATCATTATTAATAGTTTGTCATTATAGATTATTTCAAGGAAAAAAAAAATAAATAATAAAAATTGAAAAATTTTTAAAAGATTTTTATTTAAGTAAGAATTTTTTCTCAAAAGGTATCTGTCTAATTGAAATATCTCTTAAGTTTGAATTGTTTAAAAAATCATATTTATTATTGAAACTATATATTATAATATAATTCTTTTTTAACATTAATAATATATAAATTAATTCAATAAAATTAATATTCTTAATAATTAATAATATCAAATAAAATTAAACATAAAATATTTTTAGATCTGTGAGTCAATAGCATAGTGGTAGTACTCCCAGGTCACAATTACAAAATCTGTAGTTCAATATTACTTAAGGATCAAAATCAAAAATTATCCTTCTAATCAGGTTTTACTGATTATCTTGTGAAAGTCATACCCAATCATCCAGAACAAGTTCTAATCAGGTTAAACTATATGAAAATGGGATTTCTGGTCTTTCATTGATCAGTGGCTGAGATCTACGATTATACTATTGAAAGGATTGCATGAAGAAAGGCTTCTGGTCTAGCCTACCATAAAAATACTTCAAAAATTTCCTGTCCTGACAGCCTCCAGGACCCATGCCCTCCTAGCTTAAGATATCCCAATCTGATGCTTCGCTTAAATGAAAATCAGTCACATAAAACTGATCTAATGCCACAAGTGATAATAAAGAAGAAAAGTGTCCTCTTTCGAAATCTGAGTGAATAATATCTAGAAGTATTGAAGAGTGATTCAAATATTATTAAATACATATAATAGAGCCTAGTTTAGTGAATATAATACAAAAATTTATAAAGCTTATTACTAAATTAGCCTATTTTATCATTAATAATTGTGTATTTGACCATCTGACCCCTAGCTGGATCTATCTACTCACAAAGTAGTAGCAGGTTCATCTATGGTAAACTACGATAAGGTATCATTAATCTGTATAGATATAAAAATATAGGGTTGTATAAAATGATTGATGTAACTGTTGTAGGATTTAATTATTCATCAAATTAAGTTAATTCTTAAATAAAAGCTTGTATCTAATACTAGTTGTGGTTTAAAAAATATATATATATATAAAGTATAAATAGACCTATGGATTAATAGCATAGTGGTAGTGCTTCCAGGTCATAATCACAAGGTCTGTAGTTCAATACCACTTAAGGACCAAAAATCAAAATTACTCTTCTAATTAGGTTTACCGGTTATCCTGTGAAAGTCATACCCAATCATCTAAAATAAGCTTTAATCAGGTTAGGCTGCATGAAAATGAGACTTCTGGCCTTCCATCGATCAGGGGCTGAGATCTACGGTTATATTACTGGAAGGATTGCATAAAGAAAGGCTTCTGGTTTAACTTACCATAAACATCCCACAAGACCCCCTGCCCTGGCAATCTCCAGGACCCCGACCTTCTAGCTCAGGATATCCCAATATAGTGCCCCGCTTAAATGAAAATCAGTCAAATGGGATTGATCTGATACCACAGGTGGTAACAAAGAAGGTAAAGTGTCTCCTTCCGAGATCTGAGCGAATAATATTTGGGAGTATTGAAGGGTAAATTAAATTCCATCGAGTACATACTATACAGACTTGTTTAATAAATAAATTAAAAATTTATGAAAACTCAATACTAAAATTAACCTGTTTCATCATTGATGACTATGTATTAATCATTCGGCCCTTAGCTAGATCTGCTCTACTCACAGAGTGATTAGTGGGTTCATCTAGAGAAAACTGTGATAGGTTATTTTTTTTAAATTAACCCTCTGTCAGGTTAGTTAGGTGTGCTTTATTAAACCTTTGTAAACTATACATTAATATGTG